AGGGATTTCTTTCCCATCCCAAAGTTCTTCAAGGTGGAGAGTGCAAATCTCCTTTGCACCTTCCAGGCATGACCATATCTTGCAAGCACCACCCCTGGAAAGTATTAATAAACAAGAGACATAATAACCTCTGGGAGCACACCATGCAAAAATCGCTGGACAGCAACAAAATAGGGCTGACCTGGGGGGACTGGTTTGTGAGGAAGGATAAAAGGAACTAAGTATAGCTTCACCAAATGGCAACTAATGGGAGCTATTTTTGCATCCTTCATAGTGCAGAAGGAGAGGGATTATTCAGGAAGGTCCAAGCTATAGCTAGGAGTAATGGGATGAAATTCAGGGCCAGATCCGCACCTGGTATAACTTGATGTAGTCAATGGAGCTAAGCCATGCTATACTCTGCGGGAGTGAGCCTCAGGTTGGATGTGAGAAAACATTTCCCAATGATTAGATCTACTAAACTACTCAATAGTCTCTCAAAGGAATTAATGGCTGCCCCATCACAAGTCATTTAAAATTGGATTGGACAAAGCACTGGGGAACATACTATAGGGAGCATCCCTGCATTGGCCAGAGTATGGGCCAGGGCGAGGTTGAGAATATGTGACTCTACAGATATTTTTCCAGCTCTAATCTTTGTTATGAAAGTGCTTTGGGATAACCCGAGATTATTCCAGCCCAACAAGCCTCCCTTTTAGGTTGCATTTCTTTCTACCCTCCCCCACTTTCACTCTTGGGTCCTGGAGGTTCCTGAGAAGGAGGTTATTTCTTTTACAAGCCGAGGCAGGTACATGCATATGGTGAGGGATAGGAATCTGCCCGTTCTGACAATGGCAGCCAATCAGTATTGATTAGCATGTACATTCTACTGAACATTTCAGACTGGCCATGACTTAGTAGTTGTTGCAGCGCTGCAGTTGGGAAGGAGAGTCCCCATTTTCATCTAACCTGACTTCCTCCTCATGAGAGGTAGTGTCAGGGGCAGACTCCAGCAAAAGTGACATCAGCAGAGGGACAAGAAAGGGAGGCAGTTCACTCCTTACAGGGCCGGCTCCAGGGTTTTTGCCGCCCCAAGCAGCCAAAAAAAAAAAAAAAAAGCCGCGATCGCAATCTGCGGCACTTCCGCCGCAACTCGACCTCCGCCGCTTCATTCTTCAGCGGCAATTCGGCGGCAGGTCCTTCCCGCAAGAGGGACCGAGGGACCCACCGCCGAATTGCCGCCAAAGAGCCGGACGTGCCGCCCCCTTCCATGTGCCACCCCAAGCACCAGCTTGCTACGTTGGTGCCTGGAGCCGACCCTGACTCCTTAAGTCCCCTTCAACCTCTCCACAAGCTCAAATGACAAAGCCAGTCCCCCTGCAACACTACCGGAGAACAATGTTAGTTTCCAAGGTACTTGCCTTCGGAGTTCTCTCCATAACCCAACTGCTCATGTATAGGAAAGTATGGTCGGTCAGCAAAGTCCTCTGATTTCTGGACCAATGCTTCCTTTACTGCTTTGAATCCATTCACTACTATCATATTACTCCAGCAGTTCTGGAGACTAAAGACATTTCCATATTTTTTACTCAGCTGCCAAAAAAAGAAAAAGGGAAAATATATTGTTGGAAGCCAGATGACATTTAAATTTGCTGGAAAGCAAGCCTGAAAAATATCATCTTGCATTTCTGTACGCTCTCTAACTTCGAAGGATCTCAGAGCACTCTATTGGGCTTGTTAGCTAATCACTGATGTGCAGCCACCTCTGGAGTGGAACAACTCACAGCAGCACTACACAGCCAGTTACACAAGGAGTGAAGAATACCACCATTGTCAGCTGAAGCTGCGGAAAGAGTTTATGTCAGCAGAACATAACTAACCAAGTTGAAATTTGGCCAGGGATCTTGTGAAAGTGTCACGGAGTCTTTAACGACTACCGGCGGTCAGGACCTCTTTTGATGTCTTCAAATATAACAGACCCAAGCGTACATTGTTCCTTAAAACCATGGTGTGGCACTGGTTTAACCACCGACACAGAGAGCCTTCTACAACACTTCCTGCAGCACATGGCTTTGCCTAGGAGATATCCCATTCTAATACTGACCAGGCCCAACCTTGCTTAGTTTATGGAATCTGATATTATCACAGAGGGTATAGCAGTGCTAGCTACAGATACATACAAAATAAAAATTACTGACATAAGGGATTGGGGGGGGGCATTTCCTGTGATGCTGGCAAACGAGGTGCCAGCTCTTGCCCAGGCTGCAGGCACTATCTAAGAACTAACAAACTCATTGCTGGAGACCGACCAGTTCACCTATATGTTAGTTTGCTCAAAATGGGTGTTAGTCTTAAAAGAATGTATTTAGTGTTTAGACTATGAAATGCTTGTATGTTGCTGCAGGCATTAATCTCACTTGCAATGTCTGTGTTCCGCGCCATAAGAAAATATGTAAGTTTTGCTTTATAACTTTGCAAATGTCTGCTCTAAACAGGGGTGGCTCCAGGCACCAGCGCACCAAGCGCATGCCGGGGGCGGCCTGCCGGTCGCTGTGGGGGCGGCAGTCAGGGAACCTTCGGCGGCGTGCCTGCGGGAGGTCCGCCGGTCCTGAGATTTCGGCGGCGAGTACGCCGAAGCCGTGGGACCGGGGACCTCCCGCAGGCGCACCGCCGAAAGCCGCCTGACTGCCGTGCTTGGGGCGGCAAAATACATAGAGCCGCCCCTGGCTCTGAACTTGTGAACACAGGCACAGGAATTCTCTACCACCCCATCCAGAAGGACTATCAAAATCAGCTGGGTCATCAAGGAATATTGCAAACAAAGGATTGGCTAATGGGCCTATCCCACCTTGGAAATGCCATGTGCAAGGAAGCCTGTTCTGTGGACTTGGAAGCTGAATGAAGGAAATAAAACAAAGTCACAGGAAAATTTTCCATCTGTTTGGCTGTCTGAACTCTGACAGGGCGAGAGTTCCCCAGGGCTGCCTGCTGGATCCACCCTGAAAGACACTTTGAATAGACAGATCACTGCAACTCGGTCACTCTTAGGATTTAGATGATAACTCATTTGTGTGTATACGTTTGCTTGCTTGAACCTGCAAATAACTCTGTTATTTCTTTTTCCTAGTTAACAAACCTTTGGTCATTTATTACAGGATTGGCTACAGGCGTTGTCTTTGGTGTAAGATCTAGGGTACCAGCTGATCTGGGGTAAGTGACTGGTCTCTTGGGACTGGGAGCAACCTGAATGTGGTGTGATTTTTGGTGACCATTTATCACTAAGTCCAGTTTGTCTGGGTGGCAAGATAAACTGGAGAGTCTAAGGGGACTGTCTGTGACTCCATGGTAAGTCTGTTATAGTGATCCAAGAGCAGGGGTGCCAGAACGACGGGGGGAGGGGGAGGGGGCAGGGAGCTATGGCCCCCCAGTTTTAAAATTGGGAGGGCCAGGCCTGCCCACTTTTTAACATGGGCATAATTTTGGGGGCAGAGGGCTGCATTCAGAGGTGAAAGTAAGCCAGTATAGCATGATACGGCGTACCAGCAAGAGTCAGTACGCCGTGACAGACCACACCAGCTTCCGCGGTGGGGATTTAAAGGGCTCTGGGCTCCCCGCCGCTGCGGGAAGCCCAAAGACCTTTAAATCCCGCCCGCAGCTCGGCGCCCGGGCTGGGGGCGGGCTCGGAGCTCCTGCTGCTGTGGGGAGCCCAGAGCCCTTTAAATCCCGCCCGCAGCCCCAGTGGCCGGGCTGGGGCTGGGATTTAAAGGGCTCAGAGCTCCCGCCACTGCGGGGAGCCCAGAGCCCTTTAATTTGCCCCTGAGCCCGGGGGCTCCCAGCCACCTCTGCAGCTGGGACCCCTGGGTTGATTTAAAGGCCCTGGGGCTCCCAGCCACAGCTGGTGCCCCAGGGCCTTTAAATCTTGAGAGATCCCGCCTCTTCCGGATGAGGCCACGCGCCCCTCAGGACTCCGGCAGTACTGGTAAGTCCTACAAGTTACTTTCACCCCTGGCTGCATTCCCCCCCACCCCCCACACACCCAACTGCAACCCCCGGCAGGCGTGGAGTGGCACAGGCAGAAATCATCAGCTCCCCCGCCACAAGGCGCAGCCTCTGCCTGCAGCACCAGCCGCTTCTCAGTGGCCCCACCCCGGCTCCTCCTCTTCTCCCCGATGCCCTGTCCCCTTGCCAGGCTGGAAGCCGGAGCCGGGCTACGACCCAGGGAGCCTGGACCACTGTAAGGAGTCCTGGACCCTCCATCAGCGCTGGGCGGCATGGCCTGGGGGGCTGAGGGGACAGGCTGGGGGCTGCTCTTGGGCACCCCAGCCCCGCACCCAGGCTCCCTGGGTGGCTCTTAGTACCACCAGGTTCTGGCTTCCAGCCTGGCCAGGGGGCTGAACCTCAGGGGAAGAGGAGGAGGAGGGGGAGGAGCTATGGGGAGGGTGGGGTAGAGGGAAGAGGAAGGGTAGGGACACGGAGCAGGCTGGGAGGTTCTCTGAGGCAGCAGTGGCTCCGTCCTGCTCCCTGCCCAGCTGCCAGGGAAAGCGGCCAAACGTGCCGGGGGAGAGACGCAGGAAAGGACAGAGCCCCTCTCCCTCCCTGCCCCAGGCAGGCCAATCTGGGGGGGCACTTAACCCCCCATTAGGGTGACCAGACAGCAAATGTGAAAAATCGGGATGGGGTGGAGGGTAATAGGAGCCTATATAAGAAAAAGACCCAAAAATCAGGACTGTCCCTATAAAATTGGGACATCTGGTCACCCTACTCCCCATACACGTTGCCTCTGACTCCACGAGCACAAAATGTGCCTGATGTAAGGGAGGACCAGGGCCACTGTACCCTGGTGACAGACAGGCATTGCAGAGCGCAAAGCAGAACAGTTTAAAGCAATTATCAAATAGTTTAAACCGCAACTTTAACCTTTTTTCACCTATTATTTGTGGGATTTCTTGAGGATTGTACACACATGTGGGAGAAAATGCCCTTCTGGGCCAAGAATTGAGGGACAAAAAAACCACAAGTAGTTGTTTTATATGTACATGAAAAACACAAAAAACAATGTATTGTGTTCCTGCTTGTCTACAGTAGCTTTCCTCTAAGCCAGGGGTGAGCAATAATTTTCACAAGGGGGCCACTCCAGGAATTTTGGTAAGTCATCACGGGCTGCACATTTCTACTATATTAATGGAGTTGGTGCGGGGTCTGGGAGGGAGTGTTGGAGTGCAGGAGAGGGTGAGGGGTGTGGGATGTGGGAGGGAGTTTGGCGCAGGAGGGGGCTCCGGGCTGGGGCGGAGGATTGGGGTGCAGCTGGATGGGCTGATTCATGAGGAAAGATAAAATGATCTAAATATATAGACTGGTCAAATATCTAAGGTGGGAGACTGATTGCTGCCTGCAAGTCTTTGAAAGGTTCAAATGCAAAGGATGGAGGGAAATTGTTTAGGGTTGGATGAAGGAGTAATGGAATGAGTCTAAATAAAGGAAAATTTACTCTGGACATCAAGAAACAAATCCTCAGCGAGAGTTGTATCAGTCTGGGGAAGTTTCTTTGGAGAAGTGATGAAAGCCTCATTGCTGGTCATTAAAACTGGATAAAGCCCTCAGGGGCATACCACTAGAAGGTAGAGGGGTGGATAAGAATAGACCATTTCTATCTTTGATTTCCATGATTCTGTAAGTAAAAGGAGCAGTTTTCGTTTCCGTTCTGTCAGAAATGCAAAAAAGCAAAATGAAATTGTGTGAAATGGAAATAGGGACAGAAAAGGGAATAATATGTTGTTACTAAAAATGTGGAGTTAAAAGCAGCTACAGGTCAAAAGTGTTGTTGCTAGCATTGTCATCATCCAATTTGATCTGGAAACTCAAAAGCTCTTTCTACTGCATGGTGAAAACAAGAACCAGACCCAGTTTCCCTGTGACTGGAGTGTTGAAAGGTACCAGCCTAGAAAAGGGGTCTTTGGAGTTTGGCAAATCACAAAATATAATATGATTTAGTTGCCACAAGCTACTGTGATGTTGCACTCTATATGATTTTATATGCTTCATGCAAAAGGTTTCTTGTAAGGTATCATTACAAAGCTTATAATCTACTGAGTGTGGTCATCCTATTTGTATAAATGTATCACTCTTATATCTGAAACTAGAAATATGAAATATAACTCTGAGGGCCTATTGTAATTATGCAAAGTGTGGGCCATTAATGGTGGTTTGGAATCTTGATGACTTCCATCAACCAGGACAATTGACTGTGGACGGCTCTGTTTGCAGGCAAGCCTTCCTGTGAGTCAGGCTGGGAGGAATGAAGGCTTGGGGTCTTAAAGTGACATGTGATCATGTCACCTAAACTGGTATCCATTTTTAACCTAGTGCTTTTCCATTGGGGGGGAGGGGGAGTCCAGAGGGACAAAGGATTCCCGCCTTATGCAAAAGATAAATAAATGGGTGGAACAGAACAAAGAGGAGAGCCATTATGAGGAATCCCCTAGCTACCACCTGAGCTGGAACAGGAGCTGTACCAGGGGAAAGAATTGTGCCCAGGCCTGGAAGGTGTCCAGTCTGAG